ATATATATATATATATATATATATATATATATATATATATATATATATATATATATATATACACACACACGTACATACATGTACATTTCTGTATATGATATACAAATATTATACATATTTTATAAACTTTTGCAGCTACCAAATATAAATGTTTCTACCGCGAGCTAAAATTGATCTTTGCCCTCGTATTAATTAAGGAAAACTCGCTAATAGTTGATAGAGTTTTAAGTCATCTAAGAGACATTTGGATAAAACCTTAATCATTTGGTATGCGGACTAAATTATCCCGAGATTATAATCCTAGGACTAATTTATACCACATGAGAGATGGGATAAAATAATCCCACATTTGATGGGATAAGATGAGATATCCTAGATTAAGTTTGGGATTAAATTTATACCTTGTTTAGTTCGCGATATAAATTTATCCCAGAATAAATTTATACCACCAACCAAACAGAGTATAAATTTAATCTTACATCTTATCCACCTTATACCTCATGCCAAACGACCCCTCAGAGGATAACCAAATGTCGGAGATTACAATTCAAAATCGAGTATTTCAGTGACTTTTATTCATTTCAACTAATTAGTTCCTGAATTATCCAACTAAATTAGTGAATAGTAACAATTAAATTTAAATCCTTAAACTCTCAGTAACAATTAAATTTAAAAATGCTTCAAACGGGTAAACAAAAAGACTTAACACAAGGGTAATCTAAATATTATATTAGTAAGTCTAATATAATAATCACAACTAAGACCATTTAGGTTAGAGAAGTCTTCAAAGTAAATAAAGAAGAAAAGGGAAGACAGCAGTGTTAGTTCGCGTTCACAACGCGTGGAAGGATATATATCATATCATCATTTTGGATTTGACTTTTTCTTTTGGATACCAAACATAATTATTTATATCAACAACATACATTCTCTTCTTTTACTCAATGCATTATATTTTAAGAACATAATCTTTCAACACTAAGTATTGATTTTTGATAATTATTATCAATCATATCATCTCCAGCTTAGGAACATGAACCTTGATAGTCGAGTGTGAAGGACGAAGATTAGATTAGAAAACTAATAGGTGGTTGAACGTCATTTCTTTCATTCCAGTAGTAGTATCGTTATTCTAGTATTTCCTTATTCTTAGAATTCTATTACTACCTGATGTTGCTTGTGTTTTGTTTATTATATCATCTTGTTGTTGTTACTGTTTCCCTGACTTTTACACTACTGTATTTTCTTCTCTATGTTGTTGTGATTTTGTATGCTTGCTTGGAACCAAAGGTGTATCTGAATCCGCTTCTTTACCTGTATAAGGTAGCAGTATAGTTACGTACTCACTACCCTCCTCAAACCCTACTTATAGAATATTACACTGAGTTTGTTATTATTGCTCATATCATTCATACAATCTCTGACCTCTAATCTAGCCCAAAAGTGGAACAATAAAATTGCAACATAATTAATTAGCTGGTTTCATTATTGATTCAAAATAAGATCATTAAAAATTAAGTTAATTAAGTACTACTCCCAAGTCCCATCTCCTAAAAAAATAAGAGATCCGTTAGGTACTGGGGCCGTAGGGTAGGAAAGTCTTAATTAAAGAAGAATATGAATATAATTAATTACCTGGATTCATTGTTGGATATGCTTTTCTTTCTTTTTGGACAGCACACAGAATTAATTACATTAATTAACTACCTATAATCTTTTCTTGCACTTAAAATCCATAATGTTAGACAAAATTAGTTGATGGTCTACATAATGAACTATAATTTTGCACCCTATATATGAAATCTAATGAAATTGTAGTAGGTTAAAGGGCCCATCCACAACCACTTTTACAAGCCAACTCAATGAAATTGTAATATTTGAGATCATATTAATGTATGAAGATGTTCCTAGCCACGAGACGAAGGGTAGTCTCTTACAGTTAAATCGTCTTCAACTCTTATTTCCTTTTTTTGGCATTGTTAGGGGCCTTTTCTTGGACGAGCACATTGGTTCTAAATTTCTTTTTTATTCTCAAATCATTTTTCGTTCGATTAAGAAGAAACAACTCTTTTCCTTCACGGTGAGCAGAGCCGGTCCCAAAAAGAAAATACATGTTCCAAGAACCATATGCCAAATACAATTCTATTGATTTCTTTTGGTTGCAAAAGGAGTTAATCCAATTTAAGTGACACTCTTTTTGACTATGATTAATGATAAGCGTGTACATAGGCAAGAAAGATAAGCTTTTTCCTCTTCATGTTTGTTTGTTTTCCAGTTAAGTTTGACAAATTATCAGGTGTAATTTTCCCCCTTCTTTTCAATAGTAGCCAAACTTTCAAACAGTTGAGTTTTTGCATTAAATTAGCTTTTACTAAATACTGGAAGATTGTAACACCCTGTAAATTTGAATCTATTGTGAATGCATTAAATGAGTATTCATGTGATGGTTATCAATTGATTATTATAATAAGTGTACGAGACAAATCATAAGTGATTTGGGGTCCAAGAAGAGGCCTAAGTCTAAGCCAAGTTGGAAATTACATGATAGACTAAAAATTCCAAATGAGTACGCACAAGACCTCACTTAGGACGAGCATATCTACATGTATATAAGGAGTTGTGTGATGTACAACCTATAAAATTAAAGCTCATTGAGTCTAGTTTCCAACGCATCAAACCGTTCATCATTTGGAGGTGTATACAGAAAGTTATGACCGTTTTTGTGTCCCTTCCGTCGGCAGCGTCCTGGGTAGCGCCGGGCGCTAGCCGTGGCGCCGGGAAATTTTGACTTACTGGAATCAGCGCCACAGGTAGCGCCCAGCGCCACCTGTGGCGCCCGAAACACTATATACTCAATTCGGGGTTCATTTTTAGCCATTTATCTTGGCCGAACTTTGGGGTCTTCCTTCACCCTCTCAAGAGCACCAACTCCTACCATCTTCAAGGTAAGCAATCTTCATAAACTTGGTGTGAAATTTCATCATTCTTACACTAGTATTGATGAAATCTACTCATAAAACACATAGATCTTCAAGAAATTCCTTCAAGAACTCAAAGGAGGGTTTTGCAAGATTTCTTCCAAAAGGTAATCCTACACCCTTAGACTTACATGTATGAATTTATTATGGGTATATGAGTGTGAATTAAGTATTGTGACTCTTGGTGTGGCGATTAGAAGCCATAAGTTCCCAATATAAATACATAATTATTGTAGAGATTGGAAGGTGATTATTTGATGGAATTTTGTTGGTTGGGTGTAGATGGATTGTCATACATGTGATGTTGGAAGTTATAAATTGGTTAGTCATGATGGTGGGATAAAATTGTTGATGAATGGTGATAGTTGGATGAACTAATTATATGGTGATGAGATGTAAAGATTTATGCCTACAAGGTGTTTGATAATATGCCTAAATGGCTTAAGTTATGGAATTTGTTACTAATATTGGTTCCATTGGATATTGCTATTGTAGATTGAAGGTTCTTAGTATTGTGGATCATTGTAGTAGCACTAAGGGGCAAAACTGAGGTATGTGAGGCTAACTCTCTATGTTTGGGAATGTTAATGATTCTCCCTACACTACGTTTTTTTTATGATGTTACTAATTGCCTCAGAAATATAGTTAAGCCTAGTTCCTTGAATAGTTGTAGAGCTTCTATTCTCTATCTTCATAACTCGCTCATGACTTTCATTCTGAACGTTGTGAGCTCAGTGCGTATTCAATATAGACTTGGGTTTGATGCCCCCGAGTCTTAGTATAGATTACTCAGTATGCCATATACAGTTGAAATTTCAGTATTCATAATCAGTTCAAGAACACATGTCTCAGTCTAGTCCCATTCAGTATTCCAGTATCATTTAACTCAATGTGATTCAGTATTTCACTATCATGTACTGCAGTATGATTCTCAGTTTCTGATTTTTAAATTCCTGAATGTTGAACACTTGTATTTGGGCCTGAGGCCGTAGTTTATATGCTTTATGCATACTTGGTCCTGAGGCCGTAGTTTATGCATAATGCATTTTTGGGCCTGAGGCCGTAGTTATGTATACGTATACTTGGGCCTGAGGCCGTAGCTTGTGCACATATATATATTGGGCCCGAGACCGTAGCTTATTCAGATAAACAGGTTGTTCATCATTCAGAAGAGGGAGTATTCATATCCTTACTTCCTTTATCATTTCAGTTACCAGTTATCAGTTCAGTTGTCAGTTATCAGTTATCTTTTCAGTTATCAGTTCAGTTATCAATTATCACTTCAGTTTCAGTTTCAATAGTTATCATTTTAGTTATCAGCTTAGTTTTAGTTTCAGCATTTATAATTCTTTCTTTCAGTTGCTTTACATACCAGTGCAATTCAAATGTACTGACGTCCCTGTTGCCCGGGGCCTGCATCTCACGATGCAGGTAATGATTTACAGGTTGAAGATTCAGAGCGCTAGGATTCTCGTACCAGCTATTGGGTGATCCCAGTTCTTTTGGGGCATTATCATTACCTTACAGTCTTTCAGTATTTACAGATAGACATTGTTTTCAGTACTTCAATAGAGGCTTCATAGACTAGAGTAACAGCTAGACAAAGTCGCAGGCTTTTCATATTAAGCTATGTTGACTACAAATATGTTTCAAAATTGTATTAGTATTTCCGCACTTTAATTTTTATCATTCAGACTTTCAGTATATCAGCATGTGTTAGTTTATCCTCCGCATTCAGTATGTTATGATATCACATGTTGATTCAGCCAGCCAGTTGGTTCGCTCGGTCACATGTAGTCAGGCACCGAGTGCCGTGTTACGTCCAGGCCCAGGTTCGGGGCGTGACAAAGATTCAGCTATGATAGGCTTCACAATTTCATATTTTTCCAAGTAACCACAAGAAAATCCCAATTTCAAAAATCCGAGTAGTATTATAGTTTAACACGAAACCAAAAATTCAACTTATCCATCATATTGATAGAAAACTGATCAGAAAAAGATGAAGATTTATAAGTGAAAAATTGAGCAGAGAAAGAGGCAATAGACGTGAAAAAGAAATTGCTTGACTGATTGACTACAATGCTTCAACTGCAGTCTTTTTATAACAGAAAAAACATAGCAAACTTAAGCTAAAAATTAGGAACTACCCCATAAAGTTTTCTCCTAAAAACTAGATAACAAAAACCACGTTAAACTGCTTCCTAAGGACTAGGACAAACCTAAAAAGTAGGAGTTTTATTTACCAACACATATTAAGTGAGCGTTTGGACATAAGAATTGTAAAATTTCGAAAAAAAGTAAATTCTTTAAAAGTGAAAATGCTATTTGAATAGAGTTATGTTTGGATATGAATATATTTTTGAATTATTTTTGAATTTTCGTGAATGATCTGAGTAAAAATTTTGAAAAACAGCTTTTTTGAGTTCATCAAATTGTCGAAAAATTCCAAAATTCATCTTCAAGTGAAAATTAAAAATTCTATGGATAAACATTGCTTTCGGAAAAAAGTAAAAAAAAAATTCATGACCAAACGGGCTCTTAGTTGCATGTTCAAGTCGAGTGTGGTCTTGTGTTCCCTGTATCTTTGTGATTCCCTCTCGTAGCTAATTCAATAAAGAAAGAAAAAACCAAGCACTAGATAAAAGAAGAGCCGGATATCAATTCACAAAACAATATATGCATCAAAAAGTTTATCTATCAATCAACTATGCCTCGACCCCAACCTTCATCAGAATGCTTAAAAAGAAAATAACGAGTTTCTTATGCCTATATGTCAATTTGGTCAGTATCTGTGACAGAGCCACATTAGATTGCAGTAGAATGCTAAATTAATCCAATAATAAAATGGAATGGGATGTAAATCTAAGTACCAGAAAACAAATGCAAGATACCACTATATTTTTTGTTAACATTTATAAGCTAAATCTATATACTAACTTCAGCTTCCACATGTAAATCATGGTAGAAAAAAACTATAACAGACAAATGTAGAAAATCAACTTTTAGCTTGGTTGGTATTTGCTGAGGGAGGTGATAGTTGGTTTTGTCCTTTGGGAGGGAGCTTAGATTGCATCACTCTCAGATCATTGGCAATCTCAGTAAAGCTAGGCCTCTCCGACGGTTCAGCTGACCAACACCTCTCCATCAGTATCCTCCAATCTGCGTCACAGGAATCTGGCACAGGCGGCCGCAATGTATTACTCACGATACCACCTGCATTGGATTCAGTCGTCAATACTTACACCAGTTTGATGCCTTAGCCTCCGTTTGGACAATATTTGCAGTTAAAGTTGAAAATGAGTATCGAGAACAGGGGCGGAGGGAGAGTATTACCTACGGGTTCTGACGAACCCATTAACTTTTGTTTAGACTCCGTATTTCTATTAGAAAATGCAATAAATATGTATGAATATTTAGTTATGAACCTAGTAACTATGATCACCTATGGGTTCTATGTCAATTCAGAACTCATAAACTTAAAATTCTGACTCCGCCTCTAATCGAGAAGTTAATGGAGAATGAAAGGTAGAGCGACTGCAGCGAGACATTACCAATGATAGCTCCATAGTGCAATTCGGTATATGGTTCTTCTCCCGTAAGAAGTTCCCACATCACAATTCCAAAGGAAAATACATCAACCTACAAAAACAAGCGGCAAAGAATGAGTCAAACGTTCTCTTCTATACCTTCTGGAAATTAATACTTCTCAAAGTAATAAATTAAGTACTTCTCAATACCTTCTCAGAAACAAGACTACTGCTCCCATTTAGAAGTTCTGGTGCCATCCAGGGGAGAGTTCCACGTACACCGCCTGAGATTAGTGTTTGACATTTCGCTTTGGATAGCCCCAAATCACCAACCTAAAACGAGAAGGATAGATTTCCAGTCATACCAAAGTGAAACAGACGATAATATGACAGGGAGCTTTTATGATTGGTAATGGACTGCTTTTGTGTTTAAATGGTTAAGCACAAGATAAGAGAACTAAGTTGCTCGGACTCTTCATTTTCGGTGCCGCACCCGTGTTCCGGATCCGGTCAACCGATTTTGGGCACTTCGACCAAAATCGACAGAGAAATTCGGGTCAAATACAATAATTTTTGAAATCAAAACAAAAGCTAGGGTAAAATTGAAGAAAATGTAATAACTTGTATATAGAAATTTCTATGTCAATCCTTTTCCTTTTATCTCCTTCCCTTATTTTCCTCTTGATCAATATTTTCTCCTTCTCGGAGTAGTGAGTACATTGTAAGTTTTCCACATAGTGTCACATAATATAGACATATTTTTATAGCTCTATTTTTAGATATTTGTATCATTTTGAGCAGAATCCCGGCACCTGTATCCGTACCTGTGATCCGTACCCCCGAATCTTAAAATTTAGATGATGAATGATCCGACCTCTAGATCCGCACCCGAGTCCGAGCAACTTAGTAAGAGATAACTCTGAATTGTAAGTGTGTATACTACTTATTGCAATTCCCTTTTGAAGAATACAGTGGATACTGCTATTCTTTGCCACACTATTCTTTGCCACAGGAGAAGTGAAAGAAAAAAAGATAACAAGGCTAAAGAAATTATAAATGAGGCATGGTCCATTTATCAGCACTAGTAAGGCAAAAAAGGATGACAAAACAATACCGATAGATGATAAAATAACACCAAGGATGACAACAATGATGCCCGTGATGGTAATGATAACATGATGATTATACGACCAATGCCATAGATGGTAGTGGCGATACATGCAAGTGAAGTGAGCCTTGGATCAATGTTGTCAAGGGCGAAAAGCGAGGCGCTTCTTTCCCTTTTCTTTTTTCCTTCTTAATTTTGAAAAGTTAGAAAAGCACAAGGCTTTCCAAGAGATTTAAATGCAAACCACGTAAAACATTGGCTTTTAGTAAAGAGAAGGCGAGAATATACATAATGCAAGAAAAAAGTAAGACAAACAAAAAACTATGATCATATACAAACCAAAAATCATTTCAATCAAATTGAAATTACGATCATATATAAAACAAAAATCATATCAATCAAATTTGAAAACCATATAAAACTTCAGATTTAGATGCAGCGGTGCAATTCTAAGTTTTCATTTAGAGCATGTTTGGAAAGCCACCTTGGAAATGGATTTAAGTGTAATTGGGTGTAATTACATCCAATTAAGTGTAATTGGGTATAAAAAACGTGAAACTCATGGGTACACCAGAATTTCACAACAACAAAAAATCCACTAATTTTTACAAAACCGTTCTGCCTACCATCAAACATATAACCAACTGCAAATATTATCAGCTGATGTTCTACTGAAATATGTCTAAATAAAAGTTGAATTAGTATCTATGTGATGTCAACATGTAATAGAATTTGCTAGACAAGGATTAGCACCCCTTCCCCTTGTTGAGATAATTGGCTACTAAATCTTTAACATTTCTGCACATAGTTTTTTTACCAACTGACAAATAAAAGCATCTCTTGGCTATGACTGACCTTGCATATTGGACGGTGGGGATCACGGAGATTAACCAACAGATTGTCACTTTTCAAGTCAAAGTGCACTATATTCTTCCCATGCAAATACTCCATTCCAAATGCAACATCCATCGCGATAACGAGGCGTTTCCGCTTATCCAGATTCCTGAAAACAGTTGCCATTCATTTACTCACCCCATTTTTTTATGTTAACACCACTAATAGTTTAAAATTTTAATGTATAAGAGGACTCCAAGTGCTCAAGCTGAAGACATCAAAATCAAAACATACGGCTTTCTGAACTCGCAAACGATCAGGAGAATATTATCAAAGTGTACTCATCCACAAACTAAGTACAAGAAAACCATTCTATTACCACAAGGTATGCTGAAAAACCCCTGCTTAAAATCATTTGGCCTTTAACCTACAATTGCCTTACCACCATGTTTTTAATCACTGAAACCATAGTAGAGGTCAAAACCTATCAACTTTTAACCCAAAATTCAGTGGTCCAAACCAGAAAATAAAGTAAATTTATAACAAAAATTCCATTTCAAATATTTGCAAATGGAAGTAAAGTCACCAATAAACAAATACTCCGTTTAATCCATGCAAGTCAAACGGATTACAAAAGAAAGATTACCTCTCATTCTTTTGTAAAGCATTTCTCAAGGACCCGTTAACCATATATTCTGTAACAGTTGCCACTGAGCCACCTGGACCATCTAGCACAACACCATAAAATGCAACAACGTTTGGATGGTGCAAGTCTGCGAGTTTGATGGCCTCATTCCAGAAATCATCCCTCTAATAAAAAGATAAGCACAAAAAAAATGTACATCAACAAAAGATGCAAAGATCTTGAATAAATTGGTTAAATTATCAGGTGCAGGGAGAAGGAAAAAAGACAAAGACATAGACAAGAAGTGGTAAACAGAAGGAAAGACAAAAGATACCAACCATGCGCTCTTGTTCTGAAGCTTTCCCAGCAAAACACCTGTCGTTAATCCTTTTAATTGCAACATCAGTACCCCTCCACTTTCCATGATAAACAGTGCCAAATGTACCAGAACCCAATTCTCGCATCTCCTCGAGGTCACTATTCTTTATAATCTATTCACATGAATGCACTTATTAAGGAAACAAGAAGGGTGAAAATCAAAAACATTGCTAAGTGGCAGAGACATTAAAGGATCATTTCATTTTTTCAGTTAAGGCTAACAAATCAAGGAAATTGCACTGGACAAGAGATGTCGAACCTGCAAGCGTCCAATGCCATCTGAAACCGGAAATCCAAAATTTGCTCTCTCTGGAAATTTAGTCTTAGTTTCCTGAATAGAGATTGCTAACGGATTAGCAATACAGGCAAAAATAAGATACAAGAAACTGATTATGAACAGCTTGCATAGCAGCATCTGTAATTGTGTGAGAGAATTTAAGACCTCAAATTTATCTTTGGTGTCCTTTCCGGCATCAGCGCTTTCAAATTCAGCATTCCGTTGAGTAGAAGATGGGGACTCACTCCTTCCATGTATGGAAAGGTCAGCATTAGATGGAGTGGATGACTGAAGAACAGAAGCGGCGACACCCTCAGCAACAGCCTGAAGTTCTCGCTTGATCATTTCCTCCACTGAGCCTTTGATAGCAAAAATGAAAAGATAAAGTTAAGACCGCAAAACCATAAGACGAGCTAGCAATCCAGAAACTGAGGCTTCTCAGCTTTCTTGGACCGTGATTGATCTGAACTGAAATCTGTATTACCTGAAGGCAGGCAAGCTCCATCTTCCAACCGAATTTGTGTTTGTAATCCCCCATTAGTAACAGTTGGCAACTCACTATTATTGCCAAAAAGATTCTCGCCACAGTAATCCTTGGTGCCAGCAGCTTCCTTTTTTAGCTGAAGTTTACTAGGTTTAGGAGGAGGGAAATGGGCATCATGTTGCAAACTCCAAGGATCCTGGTTGCTATATAGAGAATTTGAGCTTTCCTGTACAAATGGTGGAGTACCGTCGAGTACGGCCGTTTCTACCGTTGTAGGATTCAACATTTGCTGGAAATGTTGGGGCCCATCTTTCCATTCACCAATAGCTGGAGTTCTTTCTGTTGCATTGGCAGTTAAATGGGGAGAGACTTCATACCCTTCTGCAGCCCGAATGTTATGCACGAAAGGAGCGTCATTTGAAGAAGCTGGTATTTCATTTGGATTCATGTTACTTGTAACCAAACCTGGATATCCTTCCCTCCCACCAAACTGTTGAACTCTGTTATTCAACATGTCTTCCCTTCTAAAGTTATCAACGGTTGGCTTACTCTGCTCATTAGTTGCTAACACTTCAGCGGGGTTTATCAGGAGATTTTCCATTCTTCCTTCAATTTGTCTCAAGTGGTTGTATGCCGTTAAGGACTCTACATCATCTTCTTTAGGAAGCATGGTAGGAGTGTTTCCACCATAGTTTTTGGGAGATCCACCACTTAAGTTATCCACTATTTGACCAGGCACAACTCCAACTTTAAGGAAATCACTATTGACTGGTTTGTTCGCAGCAACTTCTTGTTTAATCTGATACTGTGGTGGAACCATAAGCTGCTCAGTGGCATTAACATGGTACGGTTGAGGAACAGCACCAACAAAAACACCATAAGGTGATTGCATCGTACCCGTTAAACCTATCATACCTTGGGGAACTGACACCTTTGGGTGCTCCGCAAACTCAGGCTTTTGGAGGTTTCTATCATATTCATACTGTTTATCAACATTTTGGGAGACTCCAACTACCTCACCTTGACCCTGACCCCCAATTCTTTGCCCAGCAGCAGCTCCCTGCTGTTCAACAGCTCCCTCACCCAGGGCTCCGGTCGTGACAGCTCGGTGAATAGGCCGACCCCTCTCATCCAATCTAAGGCTATGATACACTGAATTGAAGTCAGATGTTGTGCTTGCAGGACTCTCCCTTTGCTCTACTGCTACTGTATCTGAGTGTGCATGTGGCAGTGATTTTTGACACATTAGACAGTCATCAAACCTAGATAACAGCTCAGAACCGGTAACGAGTGGTGGAGGCACCTGACCTTCAGAAAGCGGTGCCTGCTGAGAGTGTGGAATCTGGTGCCATCCATAAGCTGCAGGAGGAGCCTGATGCTGATAAGTACTATATCCTTGGTCAACAGGAAACTGCACAACTCTCGGCCCCAATGTGCCTTCTGCAGGATAATTTTCAAACCTAACATGTTGGGGCTGAATCGATGAGGGAACCATATTAGGATTCATAGTGACATGAGCTGAAGGAGTCATTGTCATGTGAAGAGCAGGGACAAACTGCTGAGTCGGAGCACCAGCAATTATATGCTGCTGATTGATTACTGGCCCAACAGTTCCCAAAAGCTGCCTCGGGAATCCCATCTGGGAAGGTATTTGAACATAATCTGCACGGTTTAGGTTCTCCCTTTGAGGATCCACATAAGCCGGGACATATGGTGTAGTTCCTGGATACGGGACTCCTGTTTGCTGCATATCATAACCCATCTGTCGCTGCTGCACAGCAGCGAAAGGCACAGTTTTCTCTAACGCATGCTCCGGCTGAGCAGATAAGCTTGGCACTGGCCCAGGAACAACTAATGGAATAGTCATTGGAGTGACAGAAGCATCGACATGAGTTGCAGGATTTGCATCTGTATGCACCAATCGGTAAGCAGGTTCTTGAGAGGTAGCAGAAGTCCCACTAGGTGATAGTGCGTCAAAAGGTATGCCTCTAAGCTCTCCTTGACCATTGGCTAAACTATCAACAGCTTCAGAGCCACTAAATTCTGAATTCTGGGTGGAACCAGCGCTAGCGGTACTCCCTTTCCTAGTAATACCAATACCACTAACCCCATCACCAATCCCATTCACTGCCTCGACATACCTCTGTCCACTATCTTGCAGATCTCTTAATTGCACCACACCGGACGATTCTAGCTCTGAAGCCGAAAACAGGAACACCCTCAATTTAGCTGACCCGTCTGATGCTCTTTCAACCAACTTTTCGTACTCATCCATCATATTTTCAAGATCTTCCGGACAAGAAACAGACACTAGCGCGTCAAGATCCTCATCAGGCAACTGGTACTTAATCACCATATCCTGCCCATAAGTATCTACCATTTTGCGAACCAGTTCAGCAAAACTCACCTCCCTCCTAACACTAATAATCCTAGTCTGTCCACCCACATATCTCAACGCGCCATCACTCGGCCTCGGCATTATCCTCCCCCCAAAACTACACAAAAACTTAACTTTCCTCCCCGACACTGAATCATCACCACCATCATCACTAGCACGATCAGATGCATTACTACCAACCCGTGCCCCGAAATGCAGATTCTTCGACGACCCACTTCCCGAATTCATAACGCCAACACTAACAACACCAGGAGGCTGAGAAGGCACAACCTGCGGGACCCAACCGGTCGCTCCTGGGCCGGCATTGGTAAACCCTAAACCTACAAACCCAGCATCCGCTACAGTGGTAGGGTAATAAACCCCAGGTATAGTTCCAGGACTACCTCCAACATCCCGGGTCGGGTTACCATAAAACCCCTCAACGGGTCTACCAGATGTGGTCACAGAAGCAATACCAGAGTCTTCTGGCACTGTCCGAACAATGTTCAACGGGCGCAAATCTTTGGGAATTGAATTCTGATCAAAAGCCATAATCCAATACTTACATATATTTCTATCTTTACAAATAAAAATTCAATCTTTTTACCCAAAACCCAAATCTTGCTTCAACCCAAAAACCTAAAATTGCTGTTCTGGTTGTAGGCTTTATCCTTCTCTACATTGAGCTACAATACAAACCAAAAAAAGACCCAATTAACCCTAACGGGTTTACACAAATACAGGCAAATCAAATTCAATATTTTTTTTCTTCTCAAAAACCAAATCTTGATTCAACCCAAAAACCTACAATTGCTGTTTTAATTCTAGGGTTTATCCTTTTCTACATTGAGCTACTATACAAACCCAGAAAACCCAATAGGCCAATACTACTAACAGCTGCTTTGAACCTCAAATAAACCCTAACGGGGCTTAGCAAAAATATAGGCAAATCACAAGGGTTTTTTAGCAAATAATATGTATTCAGTAACCAAGATTCAAGAACTGGAAAATACCTCAAAAAACAAGAACAGCACTTTCTTGCTAATCTCTATATTTTTTGCAGCTGATATGCCATAAAAAGATATAATTTTTTTTAATGGGATTTTCTTTTTTGTTGCTCTTTTTTCTGAGAGATTTTGCAGAAAAATGTGTGCTGTATGGGAGAAGGTGAAGCAAATTAATGGAGGAATAAAGCTGCGTGGGTCACTATCAAATTGTAGAGATGAAAGAGGAAGGGTGCCTGGTTTTGATTTCTTGAAAAAAAAAAGTTGCTGAATATAATTTTTAAATCGTATTAAAATACTAATGGAAATCAAATGTAGTGAGTGTAGTGAGAGAAAGAGAAAGTGAAGGGGGGAAAGGGCACGTGGAAGAGCTCATGCAGAAGTGTGTAATTCGCTAATTTCAGTCAAATGCGGTGATGGAGCTCAATTTTTCTTTTTTGTTGTTTCTTATTTAACATCTTATACCAGGACCCGACTAATTCAAATTAGCGTAATATAATATTTATAAAGAAAAGAAGTTTTTAATATATTTTTTTTATTTTTAAAGCACGAGCCTAAATTTTCTTTATTAAGAAAGACAAGATCATATTCATTCCAACACAACTCTTAATTGTTTAAATTGAAAAATCTAATATGAAACCTTTTTGAATTATCAAAAAAATAGAGTAATAATTTTTTTTGCTCTTTTAAATTTAAAATTTTTCATTATGTATGTTATTGTTATAAGAATATCATGAAATGTTAAAGATAAAAAAATTTAAGGATAGTTTTCTTATATTAAAAAATAATAATTATATATATTTACCTTATATGCCAATTATTTTTTTCAATTTAACATTCAATCAAACATCATTATATAAAATAAAATGAGTTTTTGGCCAATATTGTCCTTTATCTTTGAAGGTAGATCTATTTTGGTCCCTCAAATATAATCCTGAGCATATTTAGTCCCTTAAGTATGCTAAAGTGGAGTACATTTAATGTACACAATGTTCAAAAACTAACGGTGTTACCCAACTCTGATTCATGAAGCAAATCTTCTCTCTGAAGCAAAATTTTTCCTCTCATTTTATTGGATAACGCAAATTATCACTTTAATTCCCCATTTTAGATAATGTCTTCTAAAATTTTGACCTTGAAAATATCCCTTTCTGTGCCAGTTTTCAATGAGAAATGGCACTATATAGCCGCTGTAAAAATAATAACAGAAAAATATATAAAATTTGTATATATTTTTTTATTTTTATACATTTTGTATGTTAATATACAAAAATTATACAAATTTTATATACTTTTTCGGCTACCAGATGTAAATAGTTTCTGATACGGGCTAAAAGTGATCATACAATCTGGTTATTCATTTGCTTCAATAATATGCCTAGAAGTGATCCTAGCAGCTCTATTTTTTTTAAAAAAAAATTTAACTTTTCTTTTTGGGAAAATCAACCGAAATTTTTAAATGTAAATATATATACAAAAAAATATACAAATTTTATATATTTTTTCGGCTATTATTTTTACAGCGGCTATACAGTGTCATCTTCTCATTGAAAATTGGCACAAAAGGGGATATTTTCAAGGTCAAAATTTTCGAAGACATTATCTAAAAATGAGGATTAAAGTGATAATTTGCGTTATCTAATAAAAGGAAAGGAAACGTTTTGCTTCGCAGTAGAAGATTTGTTTCATGAATCAGAGTTGGGTAACACCGTTAGTTTTTGAACAAATTATGTCAGTGAGACTAAAGGTGCTCCATTTTAACATACTTAAGAGACTAAATATGCTCAGGATTATATTTGAGAGACCAAAATAGACATACCCTTAAAGATAAGGGACAATATTGATCAAAAACTCAAAATAAAACCAACAAATGTAACATCATTTTCCTCTTTGAATGAGCTTCATCAATGATACCATTATGGCTGTCCAACGGGCCGGCCCGGCCCGTCCCGTCCCGTCCCGCGTCCCGTCCCGCGTCCCGGCCCGGCCCGTCCCGGCCCGCTTCAAGTTAAATGGGATGGGCCAATGTCTGGCGGGACACGGGATGGGACGGGACGGCCATTTCGTCCCGTTTGTCCCGTCCCATTTCGTCCCGTCCCGTCCCGCGTCCCGCCAGTTTTTTTTTTTTTTTTTTAAACATCCGTTGAGCAACGGCTTAAATGGCAAAAATAGCCGTTGCCAACGGTCCAAACAGCCCCTACACCCCCAAACACCCCTACCCCCCCCCCCAAACTTTTAATATAACCCCTAAGTTTATTAAATTACACTTTGGCCCTATTTTCTACTATAAATACCCCCCATTCTTCTTCATTTTTTCCCACAAAAAATCAATCTTCTCTCTCAAATCTCTTACATTCTAATATTCTATCTATATTCTATATTATTCTCTCAATTTTGTTACTATCAAGTATCAAGTATCAACTATCAAGTGTCAAGTGATATCTTTCAAGTTTCAACTTTCAAGTATTTGGGCAAATTTTTTGGAGCAACTTTCAAGCTTCAAATTAATTCGTCAAGTATTTGGAGCAATATTTCGGGCAATTTCTTCAAGTTTCAATATTTAATCATGGTGCACTCGTTCCATCTCCTAATTTTAATATATAAATTTTGCGTATCATTTTAGTGCTTAATTTTTGTGTTTACTTTACGTGTTATATTTTCGTATTTCATTTGTGTGTTTAATATTTGTGTTAGCTTTTTTAATTTAGTTTCGTATTTAAATTATGGCACCTAAAAATATATTTGGTATTTTTAAAAAAAGTAGTAAAAAAAGTAGTAAAGGTGAAAATAGTAGTAATCCTAATCCTAACCCTTCTCCTAGACCCCCTAGAGTTAGAAAGCATATTGATGAATTGACTCATGTTGATGAAACTTCATTTACTCAAACCCCCATATTTTGTGATGTTCATGTCGGAGAACTACAAAGACAATTTGGCAATGATATTTTTTTTGAGGATTGTTTACCCTAGAATCTGGATAACAATTGAATTTATACGGGGTTTTAAGGATCCGTGAACTAAAAGATACAAAAGGTTTAGGTTGAGGAAAATAAAGATAAAGACTCAACAATTGCTGTTAAAGTAAATAATCGCAGAATATAATATTGCTTAGAACAATTGTGCTTGATAGCGTACAAGAATTTAGAGAGATGGTACTGTAGTGTAATGGTTTTTTTCCGGTCCCCTCCTTATGGGGTCTTCTCCCCTTTTATACATTCCGATTAAGGGTAAAAATAAGGTAGGTAAATTAATTACATCGTGGATCCCTGTAATTACGCCTTAATGGCCTGAAGTGGTTGAGAAAATCACGTTTGGGCGAGATATCCGGCGACGCTTGGTTATCCGTTACGAGTCCGGCTTCCGACCTTGTGTGTTTCTCCATCCGGTGGTGACTCATATCGAGCTCTGCAACGGTCTCGAAATGACTCGACCTCGGTTGTAGACGTGGCCGTCGTTCTACCTTGCATCCAGGTCGGGTTCGATGGCCCCGACTTGCCCCGGACCGGACCCAACCCGGTCGGGCTCAAGCAAAAAAGGGTATCACCCAATACAAGGATGAAGAAAATGAGGATGAAGAAAATGAGGAAGAAGAATTAGATGAAACACCCACTAGTCCCGCAACACAAGCTCCAACTCAGAGTCAATCTCAGTCTGGAGCTTTACCCTCTGTACCCTCTGTAAGGGGTAAGCCTAAGGTTGAACGTCCCAAAACATCACTTGTATGGAAATTTTTTAAACATGATAAAGTCAATCATCGTGCTATCTGTGAAAAATGTAAGCAACAATTTGCACACTCAGTAAGTGGTGGGACGGGGGGTTTAACTAGACACTTAAGAAGTGCTCACAAAGATTTATGGATACAAGCTAACGTAGAAGCCGGAAAAATTATAGATCCTACCATCAGTTCTGGCACTCCTAGTGGATCTGGTTCTAATCAAATTCAACAACAATTTGACCCTGCTTCTGGTCATGTTTTACGCAAATATAACAAAGATAGAGATCGTGAGAACTTAGCAAAAATGGTGGCTGTCTGTGGCTTACCTTTTACTTTTCCTTCTCACCCTGCTTTTGTGCATTATATACAAGAAACTTATAACCCTGCTTTTCAAGGTTTTCCTAAGACCACGGTTAGAAATGATGTTTTTAAATTTCAAACTGAATATCTTCAGTATATTCGTTGTGTATTTTTTCACTTGGATTGTAAAGTGTCTATCACATCTGATATAGGTCGTAGTCCTAATGGTTGTGATTATTTAACTGTTACATGTCATTGGGTTGATCATCACTGGAACTTGCAAAAACGTATTATTGGTTATAAATTTGTTGATTCAAAACACACTGGAGCATATATTGCAACTACTGTTCTACAAATACTTGATTTTTATGGACTCGTTAATAAAGTTCTAACTATCACCTTAGATAATGCTTCTGCTAACACAACCGCGGCAAATAGCTTAAAATCTAGACTTTGTCCAATTAATCCAACAATTTTTCATGTTAGATGTGCATGCCATATTTTTAACTTGGTTGTAAAAGATGGTCTTAATTTATTTTCTGATGCTTGTAGTAAAATACAACATGCTTGTGGCTATATTTTTCGTGCTCATAAACAAAGTAGAATTCGTGAATTTGCTCAACAATGTGCTAGTGCTGGCCTTCCATTTAGAAAAGTTCCAAAAGATGTTTGTACTAGGTGGAATTCTACTTATGAAATGCTTACAGTTGCTTATGATTATCGGGTGCCCATCCAAAAGGTATTTAATATGCATAATGCTTACCCTGTTGATCAAATTGTTGATTCTGATTGGGATGAGATCAGAGAGCTTACTAAATTTTTAGAAAAATTTTATTATGCTACAAAACAATTTTCTGGTATATATTATCCTACTATTACACAAATATTATGGTATATTTGTGGAATTTCTGTTGTAATTTGGTAAAGTATAAAAAAATCCAACTTATGCACCAGCCATTAAGAAATGATTTTAAAATTTAAAAAGTATTTTTTCCCTATTCCCGAAGTTTATTTAATTTCTACACTACTTAACCCATCTTTAAAACTAAGAGGTGCAAAGGGACTTGTTCGTAAAATTTATGAGAATTTAGAAATTCAAGAAAATGAACAACCATCTCTCGAAAACTGCCAAGCTAGCATATATTTTTATGCTAGATCAATGTTTGATAAATATAAATCTATGGATACAACTAGTACTGAAACTGCTCCTTCTACTTCTAAGTCTGGAGCAGAAGTTTTATGGGAAGATATGAATGATATAACAGGTTTTGATTCCTCTATTGATGATGAACTTGATTCTTATCTTAATCAAGGATTGAAAAAT